TTATTACAGCTACTATGACTCTTACAAATCTTAGTCCACAAACTCAGATGACCAAGAAATGCCACTTTTTCCATTTTCTTTAAACAACTGAAATGTGATTTCAAGCATTCAACCAAGGCAGAGCAGGCAGATGGTAAATTCAGTATCAATCTTTTCTGTGCCTTGTCTAGGGTTGCACAAAGTTTGGGGAGGTCTCATAAGGCTCCAAGGCATTGGGGAGACACCTCCAGTCCTTGGTCACTGGCCTGAATTTGTTCCCAGTTGAGAAGCCATTGTTTCAATCCTAATTGGATCTTTTAGGTCTGATGGTTTTGCTGTTTCTGGATCCTTGAGGGAGCACAGGAATCTTTCACGGGGCTCAGAATCCTTGTGCCTAGGATCCCGTCTCTGCCTCCTCCTTGGGAAACTATCATGAAATAGAACCTGGGTCTCAAACTCTTTTAGCCTCAGGGAACAGTCTCTCTTCCTGTTGCCTCGAGTGCACTTCTTCTCTCCCTTTCCTCTGTGGGAACAACTGGCATCAATTCCTCAATGGGCATAGGGATTGTAAACTCAGATACTTACAAAAACTATTGGGGGATGGTGGGGAGCATCCTGCTGGTATACCCAGCTCCACCCAGGACAGTGATGCAAACAGTGTGGAACTGCAGAGCACCCGCCGGCCTGAAGGGGGCAGCCTCTCCTAGGCGCAGCTAATGAATTATGGTTCCACCTTTCAACAGAAACTGAAAACCTGGATTTTTGCGTGAAATCTTCTGATATTTAAAGATGTAAAACTAATTCAAAACTAAATTTGTTTTCGAGGAGCATGCACGCTGTAGCAGGCATCAGTGCTTCATTCCTTTCTATGGCATTTGGGTTGTTTTCTCTTTTGGCTGTTGTGAACAGTGCTGCTAGGAATATGCATGCACAAATATTTGTTTGAACTCCTGTTTTAAATAATATGAAACATCCAGAAAAGGTAAATCCATAGAGGCAGAAAGCAGATGAGTGGCTTCCTGGGGCTGGCAGGAGGTGGAATGGGGAGTAACTACATCTTTTGGGGTGATGAAAATTTCTTGGAACTAGACATAGGTGATGGTTACACAATAATGGGAATGCATTAAAATGCCACCGAATTGTTCACTTAAAAATGATTAACGGGGGCTGGCCAGTTAGCTCAGGTGGTTAGAACACGGTGTTGATGACACCAAGGTTCAGGGTTCAATGCCTGTTACTGGCCAGCCACCAAAAGGAAAAAAAGAGAAAAAAAAAGCTTAATTTTCTGTTATGTAAATTTCATTTTGATAAAATGAATAAATAAATTTGTAAACATTGTGAAGGCCAAGCAGAACATGTGTGTGGGTCTTGTCTGATACTCTGGCCATGACTTTGAGTCCTCTGCTTTGGGCTTTACAAAATAGAGAAGCATTAGATAGAAAAATGCATGCATACAACAAGATTCCATTTACATGAAGTTCAAAAATAAGGGAAACAAAACAACACACATTTTTAAGAATAAAATTAGAGTTTGTAAAGCTCTAAAGAAATGCAAAGGTTAACACCAAGGTCAAGGGTTCACATCCCCCTCCTGGCCAGCTGCCAAAAAAACAAAAAAGAAAGAAAAGAAAAGGAATTATTTCATTCGAACTTCAGGTTAGTAGTTGTTTATCTCTTAGAATTGAAATTTGGCGTAAAAGTGATACCAGCAAAGGACCTATGAGGATACTTCAAAAAGTTCACAATAGCTGGCCAGTCAGTTCAGTTGGTTAGAGTGTTGTGCTGATAACACCAAGGTCGAGGGTTTGATCCTTATACCCATGAGCTGCCAAAAAAAAAAAAAAGGTTCATGGAAAGATTTGTATTACCTTTTAATTTTATTTTTCTGTGAACTTTTTGAAGTACTTTTGTGCAGGTAGATCCCAGATGAATAGTTTTAGTTTTTAGCCTGGGTTCTGAGAAAATAGGTGTTTGATTTGTTTTAATTCTTTAAATGGGATATTGAGTTTTTATACACTCTTTTGCATACATAATGTATTTCACCTTTAAAAATAAACATTTATTGAATTTTTATGAAAAACATTGGATAGGGTAAAACGTTAATAATAGTTGAATCTGAGTAAAGAGTATGGGGTCTTTGAGTAAAGTTTATTTTTGCAACTTCTCTGTCAATTTGAAATTATGTTCAAAAAAGTTTCAAACGTATACAAAAAGGACAGGAAGGGTTGTCAATTTCAAGAGGCTTCTATTTTCTTTCATTTCAAAAAATACAGGGTGAAGACATGCAAGTTAATGCTATGATACATTATTCTACAGAATATGATTCAAATTTTCGAGGGATCTCTATTCGTTTCTCCCTCTTCTGAGAAGTCCATGTTCCCTCTTCTCCTTCGCCCCCCTTCCGTCTGTCTCCACCCAGAATGGACCTTGAAGGTGGGGGGGCAGGGGGTGGTCAGGGAGGATTGCCAGCTCCTTTTTCTTTTCTTCTTTCTTTTTTGAACGGGGACTGAACTCTGGACCTTGGTGTTATCAGCACCGCTGCTCTAACCAACTGAGCTAACCATCCAGCCCAGCCAGCTCTTTTTCTTTCGCAGCTCAAGTCTTGCCCCTTCCCTACCCGGAACCCACATAGGAAAGGGGTTTCAGAGTGAAGACCCCAGTGGACAAAGAGCCATTCCCCCGAGATCAGATTCCCCCCTCCACACCCACCGTGGCAGATATCTCTTAGGGCTTCCCTGAACTGGCTGGGCATAAAGTCAAATAGAAAAAAATTGCTGATGATCTCTTTTCCCAGCACTTATCTCAGTTTATAATTACACATTCATTAGAGATTATGTGATTAATATCTGTTTCTATTACCAGACTGTCAGCTCATCGGGGGTCCCTTTTTACTCTCTACTGTATGCTGGGCCCAAAGTGCCACTCAATAAATAATAACAGCGAAGATGGAAATAGTTATGACCATGTGCCAGGGAGTCTTCTAGGAGCTTTGCAGGGATTATTATCACATTTACTCCTCACAGTGACCTGGGGAGGTAAGGACTGCAACGAGCCGCTGATGAGCCGTCTTTAGGGATGAAGAAACGGAGACACAGAGAGGCTAAGCAAGTTGCTCCAGCATGGTGGAGCCAGGGCTTCAAAGCGGTCTGTCTTCAGAGCTTACGCTCTCGACCACTACCCAACACTCCCTGTTCTTGTTGAATGAGGGAGTGAATGCACATGCCCAGCTCTCTCTCCTTAGTATACTCAGCATGAGGCTGAACACAAAGTAATGAAGAGAATGTGTCCCACCCAAGAGTGCACCACTGAATCCGAGATGTAGGATGCAATTTCAGCTCATCACAAAAGGCTGATCCCGCATTTCCTAGATGACAGAGCAATCTCCTCTGTCTGAGGAAGCCCCTTTTAATCCTGGGGCAATTTATAATTATATTATAAATGCTATAATATTTATACCATATAATAGAAATATGATATAATATTTTGATACAAAATACATGATCATATATTGACATAATATATGTAACATATAGTGATACATAATTACATAATATATAATTATATTTACAATTAAGTATGGAAATTTTGGTCAAAGGGTAAAAAGTTTCAGTTAGCCAAGAGGAATAAGTTTGGGAGATCTATTGTACAGCATGGTGACCACAGTTAATAATAATGTATACTTGCAAATTGTTGAGAGAGTAGATCTTAAATGTTCTCATCACAGAAAATAAGTATGTGAGGTGACGGATAATTAGCTTGATTTAATCTTTTTGCAATGTATACACATATCAGAATGTCTCATTGTACAACTTAAATATATATACTTTTTGTCAATTACACCCCAATAAGCCAGAAAAAATAAAAATTAAAATTAAAAGTTTAATTCAGGAAAAAAAAAAATACCCCACAGGATTTCTCAGCTTTGGCACTTTTGCCATTTAGGTCCAGATCATTCTTTTTTGTGGGAGCTGTTCTGTGCACTGTAGGGTGCTTAGCAGCCTCCCTGTTCTCTTTGCACTAGATGTCAGTAGTATCCCTCCTTCCAGTTGTAACAACCAAAAATGTCTCCAGGCATTGTCCAATGTCCCCTAAGGGGTAAAATTGTCCCTCCCCATTGAGAACTATGGGGTTAAAAGATCCGCTTGGGGTCCATATTGGAACTAGACTGGAGAGGGAGAGACCAGAGCTGGAAGGTCAGGGAGGAGGTGGGGCGACGGTCCAGGCAAGAGAAAGTATGTTTGAGCTGCGCAGACAAGAGGAAGGTGGATTTCAGATAAAGTCAGTCAAGATACAGAACATTTCCATCACAATAAGGTTTCTTCTGCTGTTTTTTTTTTTTTTTTTTTTTTTTTGGCTTGCAGGTATGGGGATCTGAACCCTTGACCTTGGTGCTGTAACACAGGCTCTAACCAACTGAGCTAACCGGCCAGGCTCATATTTCTTCCTATTGTACTTCTATAGCCGCACCCACTTCCTTTGCAACCCACCTTTTTCTTAACTCCTGGCCACCATTAATCAGTTCTGTGTCTATAATTTTGCTGTATCAAGAATATCGAAAGGGTTGGTTCCTTCTGAGAACTGTGAGGGAAATCTATTGTAGGCCTCTCTCCTTGGTTTGTAGGTGGCCGTCTTCTTCTTGTATCTTCATGTCATCTTTCCTCTATAATTGCCTGTCTCTGTGTCCAAATTTGCCCTTTTTACAAGGACACCATTCATACTGGATTAGAGCTCACCCTAATGACCTCCCTTTAACTTGATTACCTCCGTAAAGACCCCATCTCCAAATAAGATCACATGCTGAGGAACTGGGGGTTAGGACTTCAGCATACATTTTTTTGGGGGGACACATTTCAACCCTTGACAATGTCTGCATTCTACACTGTGTTTTCCACACCTTTGTCTGCCACTCTCTGGGTTCATTTACATGTGATTTCTGGGCCTGATAAGTAGCTTGTAACTGGTTTCTGGAGAAGACATGAACGCACACATGATCACATCACAAACAGAACACAAACCAGTTGTTAAATTTTCAAACCTTTAATTCCAAATCAGATCCGAGGGAGGCCAGACCCAGTGATTTCCCCCTCCCCATCCCCCACTACCCCCAACCCTACGCCAAGGAGCTGCAGAGCAGTTGTTAAGAAGTCTCTGCAGCAAGTGAATCAGTTCAGACTTGGAAAACGAAGGGGTTCCCCCAACTCCCTCCCAAGACCCCCTGACTTCATCCCCCCACCCCCGATCCTAATTACCCCATCAGGTCCCCACCAGCCTTCCCTAGGGACCCTCGTTGCAAAAACCTCTTCCCATCCCACCCCCAAGTGACCCAAATTCAGCCAAGAAAAATATATTTACAGAGGAAAAAGATGAGGGAAAAAAAGGCAGGTTTGTGGAAACAATGTGGGTCCTGGAGCTGGGAAAACACAGTTTCACTGGAAGATAGAGCAAATGATTTTGTGAAGAACAATGGAGAAAAAGAAGGGTTTGGCAGTTTCTTAGGGAAAGCACGCTGGTGGCTCTAGGTGACCTGTTGCACCCGCTTGGGACAGAGTGACCCCCAGGGCCAGGAAGGCATAGTGAGCAGCAGAAAGCAGCCTCCCCCCAGCAGTAGGACCAGGCCGGCCGCCAAGCCACAGCCCAGAGACCAGGAGTATTCGTAGGTCAGGGGTGGGGCCGGGGGAGGCTCAGGGCTGACTCTCTGGAGCAGGGCTTGCACAGAATGCCGGAACACTTCTAGGCTCACGAAAAACAGCAGGCCTGTGGGGAGAAAGGAAAGCATAATGCTCAGGGCCCTGGAGACCCTAGCATGGGTCTGAGCATCTCCCACAGTGCACTCCCTTACAGGCTAGGAGACCCTCCCCAACACCTTCCCACTCATTCATTCAACAGATATTTACTAAACATCTACTACAGCTGCTCCTCCACTTATGATAGGGTTACATCCCAATAAAACCATTGTAAGTTGAAAATACTGTTAAATAGAAAATGCATTTAATACACCTAACCTACCAAAAATCATCACTAAGACTAGCCTACCTTAAACATGCTCAGAACACTTAGATTGGCCTACAGTTGGGCAAAATCATCTAACACAAAGCCTATTTTAAAATAAAGTATGGGCCGGCCCGGTGGCGCACTGCGCTAGTGCGCCGCTTGAGAAGCGCGGAGGCGCTCCCGCCGAGGGTTCGGATCCCACATACAGACCGGTTCCCGCTCACTGGCTGAGCGAGGCGCGGGGGCAACACCGTGGGTTGCGATCCCGTTGCCGGTCCCAGTCTGGTACGGGGGCGACAGTGAGGGTTGCGATCCGTTGCCGGACACGGAAAAAATAAAAAAAGACAAAAATAAATAAATAAATAAAAATAAAGTATGGAATATCTCATGTGACAAGGGGCTTTGGAGAGTCGACTGTAGTAAAAGGGTCTCTGGACCAGTTCCAGTCCCCCCAAAAACCCCTACTAAGCCTGGTTTGGCACGATCTGACCTGCGGAGACAAGCCACTGCAGACTGTGACTGATGGAGCCCAGGGCTTACAATCCCTGCTGCCACGCCTATCACCGCTTCTGAACCCTGGGTAGCAGTAACAGTAGCAGGTAAGCTCATTTCTTTCTTACTAGATATGGTGACCACACACACTCGGTGCTTCCAGAATATTCAGGCCAACCTTTTGATTCCTCCATTTCTTTTTTTTTTTTTCCTTTTTGTCTTTTTTACTGACCGGTAACGGGATCGCAACCCTCGGTGTCGTGCCCGTACCAGGGACCGGCAACGGTATTGCAACCCTCGGTGTTGCGCCCGCACCGCACTCAGCCAGTGAGTGGGAACCGGTCTCCACATGGGATCTGAACCCTCAGTGGGAGCGCCGCTGCACTCCCAAGCAGCGCACTCTCCAGTGTGCCACCAGGCCGGCCCTGATTCCTCCATTTCTGTTGTAGGGGTGGGAGGAATTCCATTCAAACCAAAGGTCACCTCCCCTTGTATTCTTTTTGAAGTACATTTCATGCACCAGTTTATGGCCATTCCACATTGCCCTACTCCTATTTTGGAAAGGGACATCCTCACCAAGTTCCAGGCACCCATATACTTTACTCCAAACCCACCTGAACCTCTTCTACTCTTATGCCACCCAGATTTGCCTCTCTCCTCTAATCCCCTACCCTTGATAGTTAACCCCAAGGTCTGGGATATCACTACTCCTTCTGTCGCTAAACCACCCCTCCCCCTCCACTACAAATACAAGTTAAAAACCTTTCCATGTTTCCTCACCAAGCCCAGTATCCAATCAGTAAAGAGGGACTCCAGAGACTCAAGCCAGTTATTCAACAACCACTCCAGGCCAGTCTATGAAAAAGAACCCATCTTCCCAAAATCTGTCACCCCCTTCTGGTAGCAGAGTAACCGACACCTGCCCAATCCTTAGTCCCTTTGACTCATGTAGGGAAGACCTTTTCTGTTGGATAACTTCCCCTATAATCCTCATCCCTTGGGAGACTATTTACCTGCCCTAAACCACACCTGGCTACTCCTGCACGAATACACTAACACCCACCTACCAAAACCCTATTCCAATCCCTTTCTCCCTCTTAACATTAAGCTGGGGGATTGGATTCTCTCTCCTAAAAGACTTAAATCAAAACTTCTTCAACCTAAGTGGACAGGCCTACATCAGGTGCTTCTAACCACCCCAACCGTGGCAAAATTGTCAGGCATAAGTGCCTGGGTTCATTTTTGCAGATTAAAGACGGTACCAGACTTCAATTCAAAGCTCTCAGGACATCCTGAGAAGTATCATTCTCGCTTCTCATGCCCACCTCTATCAGGCTGACACAGATACCTGAGGAACCCACAGAGGAGTCAGAATCCAGAACCACAGAGGCCCGACTACTGCAGTTAACACATGCCCAAACCGTGAGCTGCCCCTGGCTGATGTCCATGTCAGCTGCAGGGGGTTTCTGTGATCTAATTCTATCTCTCCTTACAAACACACCCAAAGTCCTAGCATCTGAGGACACACTTACTGCTGCCTACAAGGAGACTTCAGGGACTTCTCACCCACTCAAATAACCTAACGGCTGGACGTAGAAGACTAATCACCCTCATTATGCGCTTTTCCAATCAAGCACACACTTTATCTTTTTCTAACAATGCCCCATTTAATTCAGCCTGGGTGCTTGCTAACAATACAGCCATGACAGTACACTGTAACTCCTTTGCTGGCTTTTGTATCTCCCCAAAAAGTTGGGGGTATATTCAAGCACTTCCCTGGTGGGGATGGGGACAGATTGGGGCCAATCTCACCCAAGACACCATTCAATATAACCCATGGGGAGTTAAGGCTACTCGAGATATAATGAAAGATCTCCAGAGTACAGGAGACTCAACAGGACTCAAAGATTTGGTCCAAAAACCTTTTAGATTAACATCCATGATCTTAAAGGGAGCCTGATTCATCCAAGTCACCAATTATCGAGAAGTTCTCCTTCCCTGGTGCATACAACGAAACAACACCAGTCTCTACACTATGCCAGTAGGATCCCTGCACACAGCTCAATGTACATATATCGCTGACATTCCTCCACAAAGATTACAGAACACCTCAAGAGGACTAACAGTTATAGGGAGCAGTGGACACTCGCTAAAATACATAAAAACTATATATTAACCTCCCAACCTAATCCTCCTGCCCCATATCCACATCTAAATAAATCTATAAACTCTCACTTTGGCGATGGGCGGCCTCCCGTCTGCCTCAATGATTTCATTAAACCAAACACCCCATGCCCTACTCTCTTTCGAAATTCCTAATATGCTCTACATTTTCTCGAACAACGAGGATCTTTGCTTACAGAGGTTATCAATTCCACAGCCCCACAACCTAGTGGCCTCCCATGCATCTCAGGGGTTTCATATCCTTGGCACAGAGTTTCAAAAGGGAGGAGTTTCCTTCCTGGCAGACACTATAATAGCCCAAACTGCACCACAAGATCCCCAAGCCTCCCAGGAAACAGATCCCCAATATTTCATCTCAGCAAATATTGGTGCCTACTTGCCACCAGCACTGGGAGTTTCCGGGATTTGTGGACATCAGGGATAACCTCACTTACCTCCCAACTGGGTGGGCACATGTCACAAGGCTACACCACTCCTGACGTCACCGTAGCTCAGGATAATACAAGCCTCTCCTTTCCCATGAGGTCTTGAAGCAAACTCCATAAAAGAGTCACTCCCTTACAGCCCTTAGGTTTTTTTTCCAGCAGGACTAACAGGAGCCTCCAGGACCATCACGGGTGGTGTGTCAACTGGGCTACAGCACAGACTGTCCCAACAGATAGCTGATATATTACAAACAACTGGGGAAACCCTAAAAATCCTACAACAGCAGCTAGACTCCCTGGCAGAGGTGGTCCTACAAAATAGGAGGGCCTTAGACCTACTTCCTGCTGCAGAGGGTGGCACATGCTTATGCCTTAAAGAAAACTATTGTTTCTACATTAACCACTCTGGCAAACTCCAAGGAAACATCCAGAATATTCTTGAAAAAGCCACAAACCTAGGGCTGGCCCGTGGCTCACTCGGTAGAGTGCGGTGCTGATAACACCAAGGCCACGGGTTCGGATCCTATATAGGGCTGCCCGGTTCGCTCACTGGCTGAGCATGGTGCTGACAACACCAAGCCAAGGGTTGAGATCCCCTTACCGGTCATCTTTTAAAAAAAAAAGAAAAAAGAAAAAGCCACAAACCTAAAAACTCCAGCAACTGGATGGTCTAAGAACTCATGGCTATTACCCATTTTTGTTCCCCGTCTTAATTCCCTTTGTAATAATCTTCCTTCTCCTGTCCGTAGGACCTATAACTTCTACAGCAATTCTCCCGGTTCCTCCGCACGACCATCCAGACAATGACTCATGAGCAGGTAACTGAGATTCTGATGATGAGAGATGTCCATTATCATCTCTTCCAGCCTCAAGGATTGTGACAAGGAAAACCCCCAGATCATTAGCCCCTTGTCGCCCCTTTTGTCAGCACGAAGAAGTTATAGAAGATGGACCTTCACCCATATACTCCATCTGGGGGTCTCCCTAATAACAATAACTCACATCCTTTTTCTTTTTTTTAACCAAACACAAAAGGGAGGTATATTAGACCTCATGGCCAGCTTAAGGCAATTGGGCTGAGCTGGAAGGAATGCTTCAGAAGCCTGTGCCCTAACCAACCAGATGTTATTGGACCACAGGGCTGTGTCACCTCGCATAACACTGATTTTGAAATTGCACATTACTCTGCCACAACCCTCAAAGTCTTATAAACCTCCTGCTTTCCTTTGTTCGGGGGAGCTCATCTCCCTCGGTCTCCCCTCCATGCTGGTGGAATATAGCTTCTTGGCTGAAATAGCACCTGGCTGGTGTCTCTCTCCCTGGTGTCTTGCCGAACCTTGTACTGCAAGTGAAAAACAGAACGGTTGTGTGGGTACTCAAAGCACAGTTTCTACTGAATGCATATCGCTTTCACACCATCATAAAGTTGAAAAACAGCAGCCTAAGTTGGGGACTGTCTATATATCACAGACACCATTTTGGAAGCTGGAGACAAAGAAGGAACAAGACAAGTTCATAGAGACAGAAAGTAGCATGGTGGTTGCCAAGGGCCAGAGGGAAGAGAAGAACGGGGAGCTGGTGTGTAACAGGTAAAGAATTTCAGATGGGGGAAGATGAAAAGTTCTGGAGATGGGTGGTGGTGCTGGTTGCATGACAATGGGA